CAAAGGGCCGGGACCGGACAGGCCGGACCAGCCCCCGCCTCGACGAGGAAGCCGGCACCTGGAAGACGAGACACGGGTGATGCAGAAGGGTCGAAGATACCCTACTTGATGCAGGATGCAATCCAGTTGCTACTTGGCACCTGGTTTCAACACACGCCTCTTCTCTATATATAGGGACTACCTTCCCTATAGAGGCTAAGTAACTTTGCCCGCGGTATTGCTCTATATATAGTAATAGTCCAAACTGGGTTATCCTCCACATATCCCTATCTTGGACCATGTTCATCGGAGATCATTGGCTCCTTCGACCGTCTTACCACTCTAAGATATTCGACCGAACAAGGTTCGGAAGAGGCTCTCGAAGGCCCAGATCAGCCACTGCATCGGGCAGGAAAGCCTTCATTTAGGTCCGGTGCTGGGCCTAATCGACCCAGTTCACCTCATAGCATGAAGTAGCAATCAAGTAGCTTATGGCTGGGATCTCTTAGTGGTCGGTCTGACCCAAAGAAACCAAGACAGAACGTGGGTGAAAGGTGGGTGAAGTCGGTTGGAAGAACCACCCAGCCTTGTTCTTCGATGCGTCAAGTCCTAAAAACCCGGAGACAAGTCGAACCACTTCTGCAACCACCAGCGACGTCCACCGTCCGCTCAGAAGGTCCACGCATCTTCCCAGTCCGCCTCGGGTCATCTTCACCGGCGGCATGAAGAGAAGCGTGTGGGAACCAAGCTCCTGGGAGCTCCGACACGGGCCGCACGGTTGCTCCGACACGGCCGCCCGGCGTATGTCGACCTCTTCGAGGTCGGTCGACCCTTGCCCCTTGCGTTGTGAGAACCTGGTCGGTTCGTGGATCGAGGCACAGAGGGACACAGATCGTAAGGGATTCCGCTATCCAACAGAGGTTGAAGGACCTTATAGACTATCCCAGAGGTGCCCCAGTAGGGTCCTATAAGGTTTCTTAACCTCTCTTGGATTTGGAACATGAAGATACAAGAAGAACAACTCCTCCGACGCATGAATCCTACCCACCGAACACCCGGCGAGGTCAGCGGCTTGACTTGCGGCTCTCGTTCCGGGTCCACCTTGCTCGTCGTGGGCACCCGTGGGCGACAGGGAGCCCAACGAGCGAGTGCTTGGAGTGCTTGGCGAGGCCGGGGTCGAGCTCGTGTCGTACCACCCCGTCACCTCGTCAGACGACAAATGGACTCCCGAGAGTGGATCATCGCCTTGACACGGCAGCTTTGGGTGAGATCTCCCCGAGTCCAGCGGGAATGGTGGTTCCCGCAATCGGTCCCGGTGAAGGGAGTCCCTGGTCGCGCGATTCGCGCGGCTGAAGAGTCGTTCGTTCTGGTGAAAGAGCTCCTCAATCGCACGAAGCAACACATGGGGTTATGGGACCTTTTCCCCCTGCCGTTTCGGTGGAGAAAGGCCCCAAAAAGGGTCCCATCAAGATCACAGGGGTCCGGCCATGGGGAGTTCTTCTTCAGGTCCAAAACACCTTCTTCGGATCCTTCTTCGGTCCCAACATCGATTCGGATGCAAACCCACGACTCACGACCCCTCACTCCCCCCACCTTGCAAGAAGCGAAAGACAAAAGAAACATGGGATCGATTCAGATCGACCGCGACCGATGATGATAGAGGTCCTGGAGGGGTTTCTCCAGACGCGACCCGCGTTCTTTGGGCCCGAATCCTCAGGTCAGGGGTCTGGGGTTTCACCATTCATCGGTTTGGTTCGGGACCGGTTTGGGGCTGTGAACTCACGGAGCGTCTGGGTGGATCCTTCGATGACCAACTTCGCAGCATGGGATCCAAGGCGGAACTAATTGAATTCTACTAGAAACAATAAGCTAGTAGAAACAAGTGCATCGCTTCTAGTAACAAGTGCCTTACTACTAGTAACAAGAAGCTACTAGAATTAAATAGAATTCTAATTAAACTTAATTATACTTATTGTTTTTACTAGCTTCTTGTTACTACTAGTAAGGCACTTGTTACTACTAGTAAGGTACTTGTTACTAGTAGCGACAAAAAAACGCTACGGATCGTCAGATGCGATCCTTCTTGGCACTCTCTGTGTCTCATTGAAGACTTGAAGACTTCTGTTGAGGCGATGCGTTCCTGCCAGAAACACCCAGTCCCAACCAGAAACCAACGGTTTCGGGACCCGGCCTAAAATCCTTTACTAAAAGGAAGGTGGCTGGGACTGGGGAAACATCCATGTTCTCTGACTTTTTGTTGGATTTTCCAGGTGCGGTGGTGACCAAAAAAGACGTTCCAACGTGGTCATCCAATCCATCCCAGGGAGAAGATGCTGCACGCCTGCGCACGCCTGCACGTTTCAAGCTGTCAGACACACCCAATCCTGGATTCCTCGCGGCCCACTTGAGGGGAACGCGAGGAGTCTGCCTCGCACCGGATGGATGATCGAAACAAGGTTTCAGATGAAGATGCACGCCTTCCCGTGTCTTTTTGGGTGACACCCGAAAGGAACCCACCACGTTCTTAGAACGGATCGATCCTTACAACGGCGTGCAACGGAAGGTCATTCAACGGAAGGTCATTGGAAGAAGTCCGGAAGGTGTTTGGGTACTTGGAGAGGTGCGACTCATCTCACCATGACTCCAATGATCACACCACTGATATCTTTGCTACATGGCAGTATTCATGAAGCTGCGCCCAGCTGCAACAAGAAACCATGGACTCCAACTTTGCTGGCCTGTGACTGCTATTAACCCCAAAAGGGGAGACCATGGTCCAGTCGGGGTCAACCTGCATCTGACCAACCTCTTTCCTCGACCATCCACCCATCTACCATCATTGCTCATCATCTATGGTGAAACGTCATGGAAGTGCCACTCAGAAAGCGCAGGCGCCGGCTTCCTTAGCCAGGCTGCGCCTGCGGCTGCGCCTGCGGCTGCGCCTGCGGCAGTCACAGTCGCTCCGTATGGGTGCGGTGCAGAGGATGTCCTCATGTGTTGGGCCTCCGAACTAGTAGCGATGGCCTCCAACGGTCAATGCCTTGTCATGGTGTTTGTGGTATGATGAGGTCTCCTGATGAATGTTCTTAGAAATTTCTCCATCAAGCAAGGTCGAAGCCTCTATCGTGGATTTGCAGGAAGGTCTTCTTCCAGTCACTTCCGAACTCGCAATTCCACATGCTGGATTCGTCAGACATGCTTCGCCCACAAAAAAGAACCTGATCAAGCCCAAAATAGAAGTAACCTATTTGTGGGGTTTCAGAAACTCTTTGAGTAACTAAAACGCTGGCCAATAGGCTCTATCATATTTTCAACTGAGGGATATGAGGGACAAACAATAGGTATGACGAAATCGTCAACCATTTGGTCCGTCTTGCACCATTGAAAAACGAGGGAAGAGTTTAGAGTCACAGACTCGATCATCAACGAAGGAGGGGTGTTTCTCGGACCAAAAATGTCCGATCTCCAGAGGTTTCAAGATCAGATCTCCGGAGGTCTGCGACACACTTTGGGGCACTATGACCCCTGCAGCCTGGAAAAAGCAGCCTTGATTCAGTGGTTCTTACCGAAATAACCCAACCATTGTCTTACTGTAAGGATTCTCTACAACACCAGGTCGTTCCCACTCCAACAAGGGCTCCTGGACTCCCAGTCCTTTTCGGGAGCCTCGGAAAGCGATGGAACACCCAGCACCCAACCCTTGAGTGCCTCGGAAGGCGGTGGCGTGCTTATCCGAGCCGGTGCGCCGAGCCCGTGAAGGCTTCGAAGTGCGCGGCGGCTCGGCTCGCCGCGGAAGAGGGCTCGGCACGCCGGGCCTCGGGGGGGAGGAGGCAGCCGAGCGGAACGGGCGGAGCTGGTGGAAGGTGAAAACCCGGTCAAGGCGACGGCATGCTCCACCATTAACTCCACCATCCTTCTACGTGTAGTGACGGGTGTGTGTGTGTGTGTCCACCCCTGGAAAAAGGGCTCCTTTCACCTTTTCCATCAAGCAGGGGGACTGTCTACCCCACAGAAGTGACAGTCCAACGAAGAGGCTTCTGTGGCGGTACTGATATCAGTTCCGGACGCGGAACTGACGTACCTGCTTTCAACACACTGACTCCACTGGTCCACCCTGCTGCTGTTTCGTTGGTTCCATGGTTGTTCTCATGATAGACCCCAAAACCTCTTCCCACCGCAGATTTGCAGCAGACTTGCCGCTTTGCCGCCGTGCGCTTTCCGCAGTCACGTACGAAAACCTTTTGTTGAAACATCTACAATTGCGCTGACTTTCCACCTTACCGTTGAGCCATTC